TTTACCTCCTTACAAGGGAGCTTCCAAAAAAGTAGCTTGCTTTTATAGATACAATGCTTAAAGGAAAAATACACATATATGACTGTGAGACTGTTCTCTTGCCCTTTTCCTCACTCACTTTAGCCTTGAGTAGTCTCAGACCTGGTGCTGCTGCTCATGGCCCCTGTGCCGATGGCGTGGGGAGGAGGAGGGCACCCGCGCTCCACAGTGCTACCCTTTGAGATGGTGAATTAGCCCCCTGCTCGCAGAGCTGCATGATCTGCCCAGGCCCTACAAGTTTGAGGACTGGGAGGAAAAGAGAGCACGAGTAGCTTGTAGGTAAGCAGAAATTGTGTTGTAGATTGTGCAAAAGATGGAAGGAAATAGTGGTAGTAGTATCAACAAAAGTAACGTGGGGACTGTTACCCCTTGGTGCAGTTTGGCAGCTTCTTGGTGCTATCTCACAAGGAATACTTGCATGCTGTATAATATATATGTTTGGTTTCTCTCTGGTGGAGACTGCATCATGTTTTAATTTCTGCAGTTTCTGTCATCTCTGCAGGGTAGAGACTCTGGCTATTGATGCCTTATTGGTTCTTTGAAATTTTTTCCACTATTGCCTTTATTATCATTTAACTGCTAACAGTCATGAGAGGAGGAAACATTGACGTGGAATCTGGGTGGTTTTCCCTGAGCCCTTTTTCTTTGGTAGGATGTCTCGTGCACTTAGGTTCAGTTACACATTGCTGGTTATATTGAGTTTAAGAAAAGAAAATGTCCTGGAACTTAAATATTGCTTTCTTTAGGTAGTTACCAGTTACACCTCAGATGAATGCTTTTAGGAGCATGGTATATCTTTATTTAGGACTGTGAAAGATCTGGATTTATTTTTTTTAAGTACATTCCCAGTCTTTAAGATTAGCCCTGTTGACGGAGAGATTCTCTGACTAGGCCAGCCATATGATTCCGTAGAAATACATTTGTGAATATATATATTTTCCTATCACTGTGTGGCTTTTGACTTGTCCTCAGTTACAAGGAAATCATCCATGCTAGGAGAAAAAATAGACCTTACTATCAAAGCAACCATTTATTCTCATTCTCAAAAATATGTTTTATCTCTTTCATTTACTTTCAAAAATCACTTTCCATTTTTTCCTGTTCATGACTACTTTATTTGGCTAAGAAGGGAACTAACCATAATTTCATGCAAGTCTTGTTCACTTGCCCCACAGATCTATCTTTGCAAACCTTCTTTTAACCGAAATAGCCTATTCTATGTATACCCTGTGCTTTTTATGTTCAATAGTCTTGCAGTTCGTTCTGGGAAAGGTGCATGTTATTTATATTTTAATTGTAGAATTTAGAGCCGTAGCACCTTTAAAAAAGATGAAGTTTAGGAGCCAATATTTTCTTACTGGCTACCTCAGCTTTTCTTTCATGAGACATGTGGAAAATGTCTTGGATTCTACCTGGTAAAGCATCAGGGACTACTGTATGAGGGGTGTTCTTAAAACTGGCTTGTGTTACTGGAAGTTGTGCAATGAAAGGAGGATTAAAATAAGTTACTTTATTTTGGTATTGCAAATTTTTCATGCTGCCTTTAAAATAACTGTTTGATTAGTTCCACTTAGCTGTTTCTCTTGGAGATCGTGGTGGCATCTTTATTTTTGTGCAATGTATAGGATTGCAAACTGCATCTTGGATATTTTTGCTGTTCTGATTTTATCATATTAATCCATATTAATAGATGTCCTGGCTGACACACAAATTGCAAATCATTTATATCAAGATATTATGAAAAAGCATGGAGATACCAATGTATGCTCTAGAGGAAGTCATCTAGAGCTTACATAAGTGTCTGTCGATTATTTCAAAAGATACAGTTAGTAAAAATTGGCAGTTTAATGAAAATGGCCAGCCAGGAGGCAGAATTTATTTTGTGCTTCATGCATGGTAAGTCGGAAAAAAGTATTTGTCCATTTTTGAGGGATGTCTTGAAATATCTATAAAGAATATACTTGGAAATTTTCTCTCTTAAAAGTATTATGAAGTGGGAGCTGAAAAATTAGTACTTTCTGTCCTTTGATTAATTTACATAGCTTTCTTTTAAAATTAATATTTTCATCTCCAAAGAGAAGCCTCGAAAAAAACATAGCAAAAGTAGAATCAAAACCCTTGTATGTATGTGTGTATTTCTGTAATTTTTTGCAACTGCCTGCAGACCTGAAGGATTATGTAGTACTGTTGCATTTGATATCCTATCAATTGGCTCTCAGCATTGGTTCATCTGATCACACTGAAATCCATTGCCTTAAATTTGGCCAGCAGCTACAGTCTCTATCTATTTAAGAAGTCTGATATGTAATAAGGTGTTGATCTCCTTGATTGGACCACATTAAATATTGCCTTTATGGAACAGGATTCTCTTAAGGAACCTGTTTGAATGAGGCATTTAGCAGACACAGAATGCGTTCATTGGCACAGTGATATGTGACAGCTACTGGTATAAAAATCCTCACAAAAAGTTGTTCTCTACTGTCTAAGGTAACTCACCACCTATGAAAAGAAACAGTGTTGAAAAATTGAGCATAAATGCAATCAAAACTATCTGACAACTATAGTTGGTGCTCCCAGCAGTGATACTGGGAACATAGTTTTTTATGCTGCAAAAGAGACAGAAGTGACTTCTCTCTCCGTTTTCAATTCTACGTTTTTCCCTCTTGATGATAAAAGCAATTCAATTCCTGACAGTATTAGAACTTAAATCACCCTTTGTTTGCAGCTAAACGGTAAATTGTTATTGCTTTGTGAGAGGTAGTATCAGAAATTTTTATGAATGAGCAAGGTAGTACACACTGCAAACCATATGTAGCAGTTTGATCACTTTAGCAATTAACTGCAGCTGGAAAAAGAAAAACACAGTCTGCTAACTCGGACTGGTCTCTCGGCTATTCTCCGAGGAAGCTCTGGATTTTAACGAAGGTAGCCCTGTAGTGCATAAACAAACTTCTCTGTGCCGTTGCAAAAATGTGAGGCGAAATGCCATTTACTCATTTAATGTTAAGCTCTCTAGAAATAGTAGCAATTGTGTAAATTTACTTTTTAGGCTGTTTATATACTTTTTAAACTTTTATACTTCTTGTTTAATCTAGTTCAATACCAGATGGAAATGATGCGGAGCCTTCGCCACGTAAACATTGATCATCTTCACGTTGGCTGGTACCAGTCCACGTACTATGGCTCTTTTGTCACTCGTGCCCTCCTGGACTCCCAGTTCAGTTACCAGCACGCAATTGAGGAGTCTGTAGTTCTCATTTACGGTCAGTATGAGGTTTCCTTTATTATTCTTTTCCCCTCTTAATATTATTACTACTATTTTTGTATTCTGTCTTTTGCCTGTAAGAGTAGCCTGGCAAGCCTTTTCAAGTAAATACCAACCCTGTGTCTACGGCAGCCTCAGCAGCAGCTAAGTCTAGACAGGGTTTCCTTCTTTCTGTTTATTTTTCTTGCTATCAGAGCCCTGATGTGTACGTTTTGGAATGCTGGAGTAGCTGCTTCATTTTTATTCCTCCATCTCCCCTCCCTCGCTGAAGGGGCTGGTGGAACTAGACCAGATGTCTAACAAACCCCGATTGCTGGAGTGTCTGGCTCTGTACGTGACTGACCAATCATAACACGAAGTGCTAGGGTTTTTTTTATACCTCTGACAGAAGCATACAAAACCTGGACTGTTTCTTAGCACAAAGATTTTTTTCTTTTCTGCCTATTTAATGGTGTTTCCTCAAGCTCTCCAGACCAGATGTTCTGTGCTGTATCAGAACCGTAGGCAATTTAACAGCTTTATAGCCTCCCCCTCCCCAAACACTCACAGTTTGCCATATCTGGCAGACTTGCATATAGTTTCCAGCTGAGAAGTAAATGTAACGTCCTGAGTATCTGTCAGAAAAAATACTAATGAATACGATCAATCTTATGAGCTGCCCCAAAATTGTTTCAGTATGTTAACAATTGGATTACAGTAAAGAACAAGTTGTTAAAGTATACTTATATTGGCTGGAAACATTGCATCATCAGACCTTGATGAATTTTCCACTTGTTTCAGTCTATTTTGGTTTTCATTTTATCACCGATTTCTAAAAGTTTTACTGTGTTAAGTTTCAGACAACATGAATGTTAACACAGCTTTTATTCTAATGTTGGCATGCTTCAGCCGTTATCATGCTGCAAGTGTTAAGCTTTCTTGTCCTAGGAATGTAACAGTTTGTTTAGAAAATTTCCCCCTAAATTCAGTGTAGTATGTCAAGGCAAAGTTATTTTTTTATATATGTTACATTATTATGTATGAAGCAGCAAGGCAACTTGATCTGAATTAGCTTACTGCTGCTCTTAGCTGCTATTTTTTGTATAAATCGTAGTTTAATGAATATTTTAATTTACTACATAATGACTAGAGAGAAAATATTTGTTTAAATGAGGTAGCTCTCATGCCTGGGTTTTGGAGTTAGTTCCTTTGAAGGAAAAGAAAGTGTGAATTAGAACTTTAATGGGGAAATAATTTTGTGAATAAGATGAGCCTAGTTCCCCCTGTGTTCTCTAGAAATGTATTAGTTGCCTTTATTTGTAGTTTGGCTAATTCATTTTAATACAAGGTGTTTACTTAGGTTATAGTCATCTTTGTGTCTTAATTTATTTTAATAGCACTATCTAGATTTTTTCCTGATTTTTAAATTATTAAAATATTCAAATAAAAAGAAAGTGTTTGTGATAATATCCTTTCTTCATTTTGATTATAGACCCCATTAAGACTGCCCAAGGGTCCTTGTCGCTAAAGGCGTACAGACTGACTCCCAAACTCATGGAAGTCTGCAAAGAGAAAGACTTCTCTCCAGAAGCGTAAGTAACTTAAAAATTACACATTTTCTCTTAGGACTGCTGGGTTGTTTGAGAGGCAGGATGATGAAATACTGTGTTTAAAATAGTGTGTACTGCGGAAACTGGAAAGGTAGGTGTAGCAATCAGTGTGCACTTGATACAGTGGGCTAAGAAGAAATGAAAGTCAGTCTTTACAGATCTAAATAAGGGCTTAAGAGGTGGAACTTTAAAGCATTTTGGAGATGGTCAGCGGGCTGGCTACAAGGAACGTGGTGAAGATAGCTGTATCTGGGAACATAGTCAAAATATAAAAAAAGAAATGTAGAAGGGGAAATAGCTGGTCTGTCTGTAAGGTCTTTTTTCCAGAAGGAAAATTGCACAGGTATTCTGGAATATCTACTTTTCTGTATTTATTCCAAATTAACTCCGCCATGTGGACATATTCTTCTGGAGTAAAAGTAGGGTAATTAGGCATTTCTAATAAATGCAGGCCTCAGCTAACATCTTTTTCTTAAATAATTTGGTGTTCAGCACCAAATACATAAGCAAAACCAAAAGCACTTGCTAAACTTTCTTCTTTGAGAAAAAGTGAATCATTTCATTGCTCAGTGTCTAACGATAACATTTCCGCAATGAACAACTGAGTCTACTGCTTAGTCAAAAACAGTGAAAGCAAATGTTTTTGTCCCAGATTCAACATTTGTACAAAGAGGTTTGGGGTGTATTTCTTATATAGCATGCCTTTATCTCCAGATGTTATGAAAAGAATAATGTCTATTTTAAAGCAATAACCACAACTTTTATATGTATACTGTAAAATATATATTCTAATATTAGCCATAAAAATTACCTATTAGTATTTAATTTATTAATAGAGCACCCAGACACACTATTCTGTTAATCTAATTTTTGATTGGTAAAAATTATAATTACTCAGCTATAGAGGAAATTGTTTTTCATCATAGTAGTTATGTTTTTAAAACCAGTTCTTTGTCATATGATGACTGACTATTCACTTCTACTTAAGAAACCCTGACGATAGGGAAAACAGTAAAATATTTTGGAAGGGGCAGAGTTAATCCTGCCAGTGCAGTCTTTTGCTGGAGGCTTTTTCATGTAAGTAGTGTATTAGCGAGCAAAGCTGCTGCTGGCCTTCTGAGAGCTTTTTTCTTGAGCAGCTTTCACTGGTCTTTGTAAACATGAAGTTTTGCCATGCAAATGCTCCTTTACCAAAATGATGACTTTTGTTAGATTATGGAGAAATTTGGAGTTCTACAAAGTTGCCTCTTTAATGTAGCTGAGGCAGCAATTCAGGAAACTGAAAAAGAGAGCTGCTGCTTGTATTAATAAATACTTCTAATTCATTTCACAGATTGAAAAAAGCAAACATTGCTTATGAAAACATGTTTGAAGAAGTGCCCATTGTAATTAAGAATTCGTACCTGATCAATGTGATGTTGTGGGAACTGGAAAAGAAATCCGCGGTAGCCGATAGACATGAATTGCTCAGTCTGGCTAGCAGGTAAGTACTTGTTACAATAATGGATATATTTTTATTCAGTTTCCCAAACCACAGTTTAACACCTTGGGTGAAATCCCAGTCTCATTACAGCCCCTGGAAGCTTTACCTCAACTTTAATGGAGTTGAGACTTTACTCTTCATATTCTTTTGCTGAAAGAAAAGCTGCCTGGTAAAACTAGTATGACATTCAAGGACTAAATTCAGTCTGTAATCTGTATGTATCTATAGTTCTTGCTCTAGACATTCTTTTTAGTATATTTCTCCACTTCAAGAAAATACTAGCATTAAGTAATTATGTAAATAATTTTAATATAAAGCAAATCTACTTTGGTAGTAGAATGCGTTTGATGGGGGGAAAAAAAAAAGCCTCTATCTGAGAAACTAGCAAAAATTTTCCGACTAGTTTTAATGACAGGCAGCATTCATCATGTCAGATATGTTAAAATCTGTAATAACCTCACAGTTTGAGGTGCCAGAGTAAGGTGTTATGTGGAATCCTTACCTTTTTTTTTTTAATTACACATTTTTAGAATGACCTTCTCATAAGTTTGTCGGAGAATAACTTTTTTTGTAGCGTTTTGCCACAGAAGTATACTTACAACAGAAAAGTACTCATGGCCTGAAGCAGTGCACTTAGGAATTTTGGTGATATTTAAATCTTATATGACAAAGTAAAATTAATTTTGGTTATTATTGGACTGATCAAAATAACCTGATACACAAAATGCTGAGCTATCATGTTGCAAAGGAAATGGGATGTGTTCTCTAAAAGATTTTCAGGATGTAAAGCTTTTTTCTTTCTTTTTTTCTTTCCTTCCCCCCTCCTCCTCCTCCCTTGGACCTTTTATCTGCCAAGATTCTGATCCCCTCTATTGACTCTGTAGCACCAAATTAGCTGAATGCTAGTGGTCCTTTTTTCCTCCTCCTATGTAAGGCTATTGTTAATGGGTCCATATTGTTAGTGGTCCATATGTTCCCTGAGTTAGCAGAAATCTTCCACTGTATTTTCTTGACCATTAGCTCTCAGCAGGAGGAAAGAGTCTGTTTTCCATGACACTTATTCTTTCAACTTAGAGGTTGCCATGCAGACAGTCAGTCTTTCACAGCGTGCTGTGAATAGTCAGGCTTTCAGCACACTGTTCAGATAAGTTTTTGAATCTGAATAGAGATGAGGGTAAAGATAATGGTCTGTTTATAGTCCTAGTATGTAGAGCTTATATGGCTGTATCGAGGATCTGATACTTTGAGGAATTAGCCAAGAGAGAACAGGTATAGGGTTGAACTCTGTCCAGGAGTTGACAAATGTCTCCAGGTATTTAGTCATTTATTTTGTCCAAGTGTCTTTATACCTTGTGTTTGTTCAGTTGGTGAAAAATTTTTGCTAAGGAGGTCAGTCTGCCTGACTCTTCAGGCTTCTATCAGACTCTTTCCTTGCTCCAAGATCACAAGAGAGAGCTGGGTACAGGAGATAAATGATTCCTTGTGAGCTCTACTCTCGCAGCACAGGCTGAGATACACGTGATAAGTTTCTGGAAAAGGAAATGAATTTGATCTGATGAACCAATCACAAACTGTTCAGTAACTGTAGCATGTTACTGCCCTGACTCAAGATAAAAGATAGTAACTGTCCAAACACTTTTCTTTATGGAAAGATATTGTGGAAATACTGGCGTGGTGCAAGATGGGTTTTTCTGTTGGTCCTTGCATCAGATATGCAAGAGAAAAACATGAGCACAGAAGAAAAGGGAGCTTTCTGCTATCTATGCTTAGAAATTCTTTACAACATTAAAAAAAGGAAAAATGCTTTTTCTTAGTGAATCAAAGTTTCTTTTCAGTTAATACTTCTGGGGGAATGCAGCACCATTCTTAACAGTGACACAGGCTGAAATGGGTTCTTACTAAGCCTGACTAAAAGTGCCTTTTCAAATAAGGGTGTTTCTTTGAATGTACATAGTTTTT